AAAAAAAAAAAAAAGCCGCGATCGCGATCTGCGGCGGCAATTTAGTGGAAGGTCCTTCGCTCCAAGCGGGAGTGAGGGGCCGTCCGCCGAATTGCCGCCAAATAGCTGGACCTGCCGCCCCTCTCCGGAGTGGCCGCCCCAAGCACCTGCTTGCCAAGCTGGTACCTGGAGCCGGCCCTGCTTACAAGTAAAAGTTTATGTTTTTCCAGCCTTGCAAACTTAAGTCTATACAACAGCTGGGAGGAGCAATTCCCAGCTCAGGTAGACACACACTCTAGATCAGGGGTAGGCAACCTTTCAGAAGTGGTGTGCCAAGTCTTCATTTATTCACTCTAATTTAAGGTTCCATGTGCCAGTAATACATTTTAAGAAGGTCTCTCTCTCTCTCTAAGTCTATATTATATAACTAAACTATTGTTGTATGTAAAGTAAATAAAGGTTTTTAAAATGTTTAAGAAGCTTAATTTAAAATTACATTAAAATGCAGAGCGCCCTGGACCAGTGGCCAGGACCCAGGCAGTGTGAGTGCCACTGAAAAAAATCAGCTCACGTGCCGCCTTTGGCACGCGTGCCATAGGTTGCCTACCTCTGCTCTAGATCATGTGCTAAAAATAACACTGCGACCACAACAGCACAGGTGGCACTTCAGGCAAGACACCGGAGTACAATCCCATGACCTCCTGCATACATATTTGGGTAGCTAGCCAGAGACCCATGATGCTGTAGTCACACTGACTTTCAGAGTGCTAGCTTGCATGAAGCTAGCACATATATGTCTATTCGAGCTGGGAATCCCACCTCACAGCTTCTGTGCAAACATACCATTAGTCTGGGATCTGAAAATCAAGCTAGGTTCTTTCAGGTTCACACAACAACAAAGATTATGTAGTCAAAATTTAGTTAAATTGATGAACAGAATCCAGCTCACTCTCTCATATCTGAACTGGATCGGCAGTGCTAAAAGCAGATAGAAAGTAAAGTGACTGAATAGACACAAGGAACAGATCTATTGAGAAAGAAAGTACTATTTTTACATAGTTGTATGCAGTGTAGTTGTAACCATGTTAGTCCCAGGATATTAGAAGAACTCTGAAGAAGAGCTCTGTATGGCTCAAAAGCTGGTCTCTCACCAACAGAAGTTGGTCCAATAAAAGATATTACCTCACCCACCTTCTCCCTCTAATTTTTACATAGTGACTTTTCAGATCAGAATCACTTTACATTTGTTTAAAATTCTCCCCTGATGTTTCTCTCTTTAGGTAACTGTCTCTTCCCCAGGTTAGTTATCATACTTTAGGGGCAAACAATCTTATTTGGGATTAGTGCTAATCTGGAATTTCTTCTTAACTGTGCTCAAAGTAATGCATTTCACATATAACCTTCATGCTGAATTTGAAAACTTAGTGATCTTCTGGAACTATCAAAAACCTCAGATAAGCTCAGAAGGTTCCAGCTGCTGGGCTGTACTAATGGAACCATGACTTGTCAGTACTTTACTTTCAGGGCACCTGATGGTACACAAATCAGTGGTCTATGAAAAAGGAAAGCACTTTAGAAATATATAACTTTGAATTAATCCAGACTTTGAGTATTGGTTTTTGAGGGCTGATGGGGGGGATCTGATGCAGAAAGAGTAAAGTGACTTGCTCAAGGTTACAGAGCAGTCCAGTAGCAGAGCTGGGAATCCGCCCCAACATTCCTAAATCCCAGCCCTTAGTCCATGCTGCCCTTGGCTTTTCTGTACTGAGGCTCTGAGTGGGTATCTTGCAAGAGATTATTAAAAAAATCATTACATGAAAACATTTCTGTATCACTTGAAGAGCCCTTCATGTATGTCAACTGAGAGATTTACTTATTTTGAGGTCTGTTCCAAAACCTACAGAAGCCAATAGAAGTCTTTCCACTGATTTCAGTGGACTTCAGCTCTGGCCCACAATTAGCTTCATAACTCAATTATATTCCTCCTGTTCCTTGGCTTCTTTACTATAACATCAAACTATTGGAATTAGTAATGTTTAATTTTACGCTAAAACTGAATGCTGAAATTCAGTGTCCTCTGTTTGCAGCGAACTGGATTGTTTTTCAGGTAACGTGCAGTACAAACCTCTGCATAATTCTGTAATTTCAACTGGCTCTTTATTAGAATTCTTCTATCGCAATGTGTAAATACAAGGGATGTCCATTAGTTCACTAATCACATCGTTAATCTTCCAATTTTGATCCTACCCAAGACTGAAAAACATTCTTAGGTGGTGATGAAAGATCCCTGACTGAACGGTACAGTCAGTCTGACTTTGCATGTTTTACCAATAATTTTATAGTAACAAACCAAACAATAAAAATCAACCATTGGCTGCTCATTCAGAGATGACTGCTTCAACTGGGGATGAATAGTCTGGGGATTGATAAGGGAAGATAGCAATACTTATCTAAATCTCTGGTGCCAAATTCTGCCCTTGTTGGTAATGGTAGAGTGCCAGAGCCATTCACCAGCTGTCTAAATCAGCAAAACAATCCATCACTGGCCCATCTGAACGCAGTCTCAAAGGCCAAGGATTGCATGGACATGGATACTGATCTGCACACCATAAGTGATCACTACTAAAATAGTGTGGAGGCAAAGTAGCAAGGCAATGCACACAAGCTTTTACTGTCATTACATACGCTGCACCTGCTCTATAGATAACAGATTCAGTTTCCAGCAGTGTATGCAAATCTGACATCTTTCAATTTAGGAAAGAACTGCTAAACTCAGATGTCAAAATAAATAGTATTTAAATTATACAGCTTGCAGCAAGAATAGATCTTGAGCTACAAGCACATTATCTGGAGTGGTCAGATGATGATGTTTTCACCTAAGAAAAGTTCTGGTCAGATTACCTATTATTTTCAACAACTTGCAAATCCAAAATAGACATGACATTAAGTTAAAATTCCCATGGAATTTCAACATACTGTTCAATATGAACACACATCTAGCACTTCAAGATTAACCTTCAAGGGAAAATGTATTGAAGCCAGGCCTCATTTTCTCGCACCTCCAGCAGAGTGCATTACATGATACAGTGAAAGAAGTCTGTTGACTATTTCATCAGTGAAACTGGAGAGAAACCAAACAAGAATTAAATCTCCATAGATACACAGGAGAAAAAACCCTGCACAACTAAGAAAAATATATCAGGTATGATGACTTCAATATCTGGGAATGAGTACCTTATAACTATTTAGATAGAATTCTTCTCACACAGACCATTCCACTGCATTCTGAAAAGGGACTCTAAAGACTATCTAGGAATCTGGAGTTTTTTTACATTTAAAGTGATTTAGGTTTTCTGAAACCTAAGGAAAGTGTCTAAAAGAAAATTATTTTTTTAGTACCACCAGAAATGTACAAAACACATCCTATGTATAACAATTAAACTTGAAGGGAGAGATTCTTCCGTATTGTAACTTACACAAAGTTTCTTATTCTGATTGACAGAACCTTATTGTTGTAATTCAGATAGAGCAAATAAAGACAACACCCATCCAAATATCTGACTTTTACAAGTCCATCTTTGATCCACTGTAGCTCAACTATTAACTAAGAAATCTAAAACAAATGCTGCTATTTTATTGACTCTACCTTGCTCCATTTTCTACAGCCCAACAGAAAGTAAGACTAGATCAAGATGGTTTTCAAAAAAACAGGCCCATTTTTAAAATCCTGTATTTATATATGGGAGAACAGAATTGTCCACTTTATCTTAATTATATTCAATTGGCAAAAAGTATCACATTCATGCAAAAAAGCATGGCAGTGCAGTGCATAAATCAGAATATGCTTTATATTACTAGACTGAGAAGCAAGTGAGTCAAAATAGCATCATTTTACTTTCCCAAAAGTTTTCATTATTTGACTTATTCTTTCAATAAACTTTTACAAAACAAATGTTTAGGAATATTCTTCTCTAATGTATTAGTTATCTACAATGGTGGTAATTAGAGTCAACATTCACCAATAGTTAATTCACACTGGTACCTGAGAAACAGCATTATCTCTGTATACTTAAAGAAAATAACTGCAGCACCTTAGATAAAGATTTGAAAGATTACAACTATCCTATAAATATTTAATTGAAGATAGCTCTGCTTGCTACCCTCCATTCATACAGTCTAGCACATTTGGTATTTATCAGCAGCACACACACATCCATAAAATATTTCTGAAAAATAATCTATTCAGAATCAATCCCTGCTATCAAAGCTACAAACCTTGCACTTATAGATAAGACTGAAACTTCGACCTATAATTACCAGTCAGTTGTAACTGCCTTTAGATTTTGATGATGCAAAGTTTGACTGCAAACAGGAGTGCCAACTGTACCAGTATCTCAGTCTATTTGATTGTTAAATCACTTTGTTTAAAACTCAATACCCTGTTTCCCCGAAAATAAGACAGTGTCTTATATTAATTTTTGCTCCCAAAGATGCGCTAGGTCTTATTTTCAGGGGAGGTCTTATTTTTCCTGGAGCTTCGGGGCCTTATATTCCGGGGTGGCCTTATTATCGGGGAGGTCTTATTTTCGGGGGGATGCCTTATATTACAGCGAGAGGCAAAACTGGAAGTAGGTCTTATTTTCGGGGGATGTCTTACTTTCGGGGAAACAGGGTAAATACAACCATGTCAGTTACTGGAAACCAGTATTAACTCTAGTTAGCATTAAAATGCCACCAGATGATTGCTCCATCTTTTTTATATTCTAAACAGTACTTACACTGGAAAAGGTAAACATGTAACTAATTATATATCATAAGCTACTTCAAGTAAGCAAACATCTCTTACACATATAAATCAAAAATTAAAAAAAACAAAACAAAAACGCAGTAAGATGAAGAGCAAAGCCAAAAGACATTATAGTACTCACTGTCTTCTCCTGGACATGGCATGCCTGGTTTCTCTGGAATGCTGGGGAAAACTAAAACAAAAACAGACAACACTTATTACTGAAGTAATAAATTACTTTATCTAAAATAAACAATTTCTGGAAGGTTTGTTATTGATTTTTTTCAATTCTGTTCTGAGAAACAACAGGTTAAGCCAGCTGCTTACTATGCCACGATCATAGAATCAACTACTCTAGCAACAACCCAGTACACTGTACATAGGGCCTGACTTAAAGCCCACTGAAGTCAGTGGAAAGTCTCCCATTGACTTCAATGGACTTTGAATCAGATCCCTACACAGCATCTTTCATTTACAGATGAGAAGATGAAGTAGTATTATCCCTGTTTTACAGTGTGAACAGAGACACAAACTGAAGTGATATGTCCCAGGTTGAACAGGAAGCCTGTAGGAGAGCTAGAAACAAAACCCAGATTTCCCAGCTTCCAGCACTGTGCTTTCACCATTGCTCCAAGGTTCTCTTGATTACAAAGACGACCATGAGGCACATACTTAAAAAGCCCAAAAGAGAGGCGGAAGATAATATAGCTGACATGAGACTCCTGAAAAAACTGAACATAGAAAAATACATGGTTTACATAAGAATGTACCAATAAAAATCAGTTCATAATAATTTCTGTTGCATTATTTATTTACATAATATATTTGCATTACCCATTTACATAAAGTGTAGATCTACTTGAAAAATTCAAGTTGTCAAAAGCTTCTATAATTGGTTCTTAAAATGGAAGCAGAAGTATTTTATTAAAAATACAAGTTGAAATAGAGACCTAATAGCAAACGGTAATTTTGCCTAGATAAATAGTCTATAATATATTGCTTTGTTGTTATCTTTAATGTGACTGAATTGAGCCCTTTGTAGTACTGGTATCTTCCTCTCCAGCAAGCTTGTAAACAAATATTTCATGTTATGAAGACACACAAATCAGCAATGCAAACTTCCTAATCAAGAAACAAACTAACTTGACCAAATACACTTTAAAAAAGTATCATGAAGCATACTACTCAAGCAGACCCCCTAAACCTGCAATCAGATCCACACAGACAGACTCCTGCACCTGTACAGAATCCCGCTTGCTTCCATGGGGTTCCACAGAGGATAGGAAAACATCTGTGCAGATCTAATTGCAGGTCTAAGAAGCAAATTCAGAAATAAAACAACTAGTTAAATCCCTCTAAGTTCAAAAACCTACAAGGTATTCCAGCCCAGACCTGTTTCTCTCATAAATCAATGGCTATATGTTTTTAAAAATTTAGATTTTAAAAAGTAATGAATGATTGCTTGGTTGATTTTTAATTTCAGTGACAGCCATTCAATTTTAACATTGTCTTAACTGCTGAGGTGGTTACAAGGGAGTTATTTTCAGTTTATCACATTCACTGAATTTAGAAAGAGCAGATTATGGCATATTTAATTATTAAGCAGCCATCACCTTCATTGCTCTTTTATCTTTTCCCTCCATCAGTAGTTAGTTCATCATTATAGGTTTAGCAGGATTCCAAAAGAATGTATTTTTATATGAGAGCAGGAATCACATTTGTAGCTACATTAATTAGATTACAAACTTACAAAGGATACCAGCCAACATGACTCAGAACATAAAACGACTGCAAGAGTGGCTTAGAAGAAGTCAGCCCAAAGAATATTTAATTTAACACATGTCCATGCTCCATACAGTGTTGAAGCTCAGCGAGTATTTATATTGAACAGGGCTCCTGAACTGCTTTATTCCTCCTCACAAGAAATTTAGATATGGTTCTAAAATTACAGAGTACTTGCCATGAATAATGAGCCCTTCATCTCTATGATGACAATACAAACGGAAGGCTTCTTCCAGTTCCATCTGAGATGAGATAGTACACGGATCACCTAGCAAGGGGAACAAAGAAATATGCAACCAAATTTATGACTATGGTATATTAAGTTTAGGATTTAAACTAATTAGTTGAGAAAATTCAAGCAAAATTATCATATTATCCTAATAATTTTATTAAGACCAAACAAAATACAGTAACATGAAACATGTTTTTTCTTCTTTTTACTTTACATTTTTAACCAAACTGAAAAGATTAAAGACAAAAACATAAAAGAGTTATGACATAGTTCTCTTAAGTTGGTACATGTGACAGAAAATTAATTTAAGTAAGCTGACTAACTTCCACAGAGCTGGAGATGGGATCCAGGGACCGGGTTCATTATATCCGAAGGTTCTTTATTACGAAGGGCATTATAACGAGGGCGTACTGTAGTAAATATTAATATTATGGTAGCATCCAAAAGTCAAAATTAGGGCAGGGTACCATTTGTGCTAGACACTGAACAAGCATAGAGAGGTAATCCCTACCCAAAGTGCTTACAATCTAAAGACAGACAGACAGACAAAGGGTAGAGGAAGGGAATACATATATGTGGATACAGTTAAGAATTGGCACAATTACTTACTGTATTGGGGGAGGGTTGAATTTTTTGTAATTAGGATTAGAGATAGGGAATAGAAAAAGGAAAAAAGAAAAGAGTCACACCTGCTTGGCCATGATCAGCAGACTGGATGTTGCAGGCATCACAACAGAAGGGTGTCTTATGGAACAATTGAAGGGAGGTTAAGGTAGTGACTGTTCAGCTTCTATGAGGGAGTTTTTTCTGTGCATAAAGAAGCTGTGTGATGGATAGTGAAGGCTGGGAATGCTGACATGCATGACAAAGCAAAAGCAAGAGTCCACTTTAAGAAAGGTTACTAGATCAGTCAGGCAGTTAAAGGAGCTTTAAAAGGGAAAGTCAAGAAGCCATTTAAAGTTCTCTGACCTTCTCTACCAATCCGATTAGGAAAGAATGAAATATTAATGTCAAGGAGGGGTGGGAGGGAATCTGACAAAATTATAGGAATTACAGTGTATGGAAGAATGGGTCCGAATACTAGACCCCAGCCCAAACTTGCACCAGTAGCCGTGAAGTAGATACTTAGCTCTAAACTGAGACAACTTGCAAGTGGTCAAGGATTTGTTACACTATATATCAGTACCCCGAAAATATTTCAAGGCATGAATGTCCTTACATTGAGATTAACAAATGGAGAAGTAAGAGAGAAAGGTCGGGGAGGAAATGTACCTCAATCAGGGTAAGTTAGTGGACAATTGGATGAAAAATACTGCTTTTTTTAAAAGAATTTTACATGTCATACAAAAATAGCTAATTAAAACAGCTGAGGATGTAAATAATACCCACAAGTTAACCAATCTTCACAACCACCCTACAAAATCTTTTCCATATTAAGATGACCAAAGATTTTTTTTAAAAACTTCCAAAGACTACTTTTTAACAGCATAGGACTCCATGGTACTGAACTCTCAGAACCAGATATTAGTCCAAGTCCTGATACAGGACTTCAGAGAACCACAGGTTTGTCCATCTGACTTGTAGTTTTAGATCATGTAGTTCATCTCACTGCAAAACTAGGATTATTCTTTACTGCAAGTTCTTTAGTATTTTATATTTTAATATTTTTAGTATTTTGTCTAGTCTAGGTTAAAAGTCCCGAGCAATAAGGCTAGAATCAACCACATGGATGCACTTCTGCCCAAGAGCTAGTAGTTTAATTGATTCACTGACATGTACAAACACAATATAAAGATAGAAATCCACTATTTAAAGTGTCACAAAAACCATAGGAGACTGACCTGAGAGACTTTCAGAGAGCCTGGAATTTACACTAAAACACAAAGGAATTTTTAAAGATCTAAACTGTGTAACAAGGCCTTTCTAGGCTGAACATGAAAGTATTTGCAGGTAGACTAAAGCAGAACTGTAACACCAGAATTAGGCGACTATGACTCTCTCCATTAACGTAAGTACTACAGTAAACATAGCAACCTGCCACACAGTAAGCAGTACATGGTGAATTATATTGCAGGTCAGTCATCCATGCAGCTCGTACGTGTGGGACTTTAAGGTGAATATTTATTCAGTTTGAAGTTTGGGGATTTCGTCAAAAACAGACCACCACACAAAATCCACTTTATTTGGCTCGAAGGTAGGTTTTCATAGAATCATACAAATGTAGGGCTGGGACGGACCTCAAGAGGTCATCAAGGCCAGCCCTGAGGCAGAACCAAGTAAACCTAGACAATCCAACCCATTCTCAGAAACCTCCACTGATGGAGATTCCACAACCTTCCTTGGAAGCCTATTCCAGAGTTTAACTACCCATATAGATTGAAAGTTTTTCTGAATATCTAACTTAAATCTCCCTTGCTGCAGATTAAGTCTATTATTTCTTGACCTACCCTCAGTGGACGTTGAGAACAACTGATCACCATCCTCTTCATAACAACCATTAACATATTTGAAGACTTAGCAAGTCCCCCCTCAGTTTTCTTTTCTCAAGAATAAACATGCCCAGTTTTTGTAATCTTTCCTCATAAGTCTGGTTTTCTAAATCTTTTATCATTTGTTATTCTCTTCTTGAATCTTTTCAATTTCACCAAAACTGTCCTAAAGTGTAGTGCCCAGAACTGGACACAGTACTGCAGCTGAGGCCTCACCAACACTGAGTAGAGTGGGACAATCACCTCCCATCTTTTACACTTCTGTTAATACACCGCAGAATGATATTACCTTTTTTTGCAACAGCATCACATTGCTGAATCTCTTTCAATTTGTGATTCACTATTACCCCAGACCCTTTTCAGCAGTACTACCACCTAGCCAATTATTCCCCATTTTCTAGTGGGCATTTGTTTTTTTCCTTCCTAAGTGAAGTATTTTGCACTTGTCTTTACTGAATTTCATCTAATTAATTTCAGACCAATTCTCTAATTTGTCAAGTTCAATTTGAATACTAATCCTGTCCTCCAAAATGCTTGCAATCCCTCCCAGATTGGTGTCATCTGGAAATTTTATAAGTGTACACACCCACTCCATTATCCATGTCATTAATGAAAATATTGACCAGTACCAGTTCCAGAAGTGACCCATGTGGTGCGCCACTAGATACGTTCCCCAGTTTGACAGTGAACTCTTTGAGTAGTTTTGCTAGAGGCAAAACTCATTATCCACTAAGTCACCAAGCAATTCTCTGTTTACCTTACTTTAGAAGAGCATCAGTCAGAGGCATTTAAATTGTATTTACATTTTTGTTACATGTACAAACCAGTATGCAAAAGTACGATAACTAATATAATCTGTGAAGCCTGAGGCAGCCAAAACAGCAGGCTGGCTGAATCTAAGAGGAAAGGGTTTACAACTTGGAAGCAGACATCTGAAATGAGATTCGTAATCCGATTGAGATACAAATTCAACTCAAGATTACAAGAGGAATATGCTCATTAGTACAGCACCTGAAATAGTAGAAAACCATGCTCTTTTAAATCAAAGTAAACCTCAAAACAAAACAAAAAACAAAACAAAAAAATCCCACCAAACATACGAGACAGAAATAAACACTGTCACCATATATATATGATCTTGAGTTGAATATATATATATATATATATATATGATGACAATGTTTATTTCTGTCTCGTATGTTTGGGGGGGGGGTGCGCGCGCACGTCCGTCCCTTCTTAGGGTCCACCAAAACAAAACGCAGGAGTTACCTCCTCCTCTAATTAAAAGGATCTTTCTTTTTATTAGTAATTAAAATGTCCAAATAGTTGGGTGTAGAGTACATTATTTTCCATACACCTCTCCTGATTAAACTGTTTCATATTAGAGATTCTTATTTACTGAAGTGAAATTGAGGGCAGGGGAAACAAATCAGTGTAGCTGGCTCCTGCTTCTTCAGGATTAGGAATGGAAAGAAAAAATGAGATTAATTTGAAAATTTTTCACTACATCCACTTTTTTTTTTTTATTATAAAAAATAAAAAGGAACTTTTTTGACTTTAGGATGCCCTTCTCCATATTAGCAGAATTTGAAAATCCCACTCTGCTACTGGTCCACAGTGAATTTTTCCTGGCAAATGGAAAGATAGAACCACTGATTACTGCAGAAATTAAGGTCTTTTTTAAAAAAAAAAAGTTTCTAGCTCTTAGGATTACAAGGATAACCTTTAAAATGTGAACAAATATAACAAAGTTTTCCTGCAGTTCTAATGTCCCTGCCACAATTAAAAGTTTGGCGAGCAGAAAAAGTCAACAAGATCACACAGTTACATGGCAGCTATTCAGAAACCAGTGGGCAGAGAAGCTGTCAAGAATTATAGCAACGTTATGTTGCTGGTGCTATGGAAGGCTGTGAGCTGCAGTGAAGGGAGACACTGAAGTTACTCACAAGAGAAGAGAACAAAAATGGAGAGTGAGGGAAGCACAGGGGAGCAGGAATCTCTATAATCACCCCTACTCAGGGTGGATTTGATTTCAATCACATTGATTTAAATCACTAGTCAGGAAGACTTGATTTAATCATGGGGTGGGCATGGGGGTTTCTGGCAGGGGAGTGAGGAGGTGAATGGCAGGTGGGAGGAGGCGAGCGGTGGGTGGGGGACTGAGGAGGGACACAGCAAGCCAGCGGCGGCTAGAGGGTGAGGAGGGGTGCGGTGGCGGGACCGAGCGGGGAGGGGGTGGGACCTGGGGCAGAGTGGGGGCAGAAGCCCCTGGAACCCCATAAGATTGGGTCCCTAATCCATGAACTATTGGAACTCATTTACAAAAAACTTTTCTTAAACATTACATGAATATAGTCTCATACTATAGAATTAGAATTTATAATCCCTATTCCATGATGAGATATCTTTGAGCTATAACGTATCTTAATTAAAACTATCTTTAGATACGTTTTTTTCCCCTCAAAAAGCATTTTATCAAAAAAATATGATTTAAATAAAAAATGGTTTGGTTTTTTTTAAATCATTGATTTTTATCCACCCTGCCCCTACTCACAGCAACCAGGAGGTTGTAGGTGAGTTAAAGTTGTAGACTCTAGAGCACTGTCCCACCTTACAGAGGAGGGAGGAGAGGGAACAGACCACACTACACCAACATCCTTCTTCACAGTCACTGAGATAAAAAGGAAGGAACTTCTTCCCTCAATTCCAGCAACTTGAGGAGGAAGAGGAGTGTCAGAAGAGTTTCACATTTGTCAGACAACTATTAGCCCATGGCAGATATGAAAGCTGTAGTTCCAAGAAAGATCCAGAAAGCACCCTCATATGTTCCTAGCAGCTATCCCAGGGGTGGGCAAACTACAGCCCGCAGGCCACATCCGGCCTGCGGGACCATCCTGCCTGGCCCCCAAGCTCCTGGCCCGGGAGTCAGGGAACAGACAGAAGGGGTGGTTGGATGGGGCAAGGGTCCCGGTGGGGCCTCTAGGGTGAATTCCCAATCCCCATCTCTCTAGCTATAAGGGGGTGTGTACCCTTTCATCTAGTAGATGCCTCATCTACTTTTTCAAGCACTGTACACTAGCACTTTCTTCCTAACTACTAGATAGACAGCTTACTACACTTTCCCTCCCACACCAGGAGAGGTCACTTTTGGCTCTATCAACCTTGAAAACATCCCTTGAAAATAGCACTCAAGTAGATGAAAGCATTCAGTTCACATAAAATGTGCACCTTGCTCACACCATAGTTAAACGCCATACTGAGTCACACTGACATTACACATTAACAGTACTGTCTCTTTTCGTAAAGTGTTCCTTTAAAGGAAGCCAACATCAATCCATCTACTAGTCCTTCAATAGGATACATTAGACCAATACTACAATCAAGGCTGCATCCAATGATCTACAAAAGTAGTAAGGTGGCTGCCAGGTAGAATAATCAACAGAAAAAGGAAAATATGTATCACTGCTATAGTTCTTGTCATATGTTCTGTGCAAAACATCAAAAATCATAAGTGGCAAAAACATTTAGTTTTTCCATAACACAGCTGTATCATCACCTTGAAAGCAAGCAGACACACTCATTCCAAAGATGAATCAGGACTAGAAGTAAAATTTTCAGCAGCATCTATGTGACTCATATTGTATTTAAAGTCAAATAGGACTTATACACTTTTGAAAAATGTTACTTTGCATGCATGCCAAAGAATAGCGTAAAGAAGAATTCTGAACAGCCTTTCATCAATCTTTGTCATTTTGCTATCAAAATGTGCACTTTATTTTAAAAGATTTTTTTTTTTTTACTTGCTATTGAATAATAAAGCTTTACAGTTCTGAAGTGCCTTTCACTTCTCGCTCTCAAAGCACTTTACAAACAAACATGGTTGGAAATACAGTTATACCCATTTTATATGAAGGTAAAGTGAGACAAGGAGGTTAAGTGACTTGCCAAAAATTCTCAGAGAGAGGGTGACAGAGCTTAAACCCAGAAAAGAACAGTTACTTACTCTGCAGTCAGAGTCATTCTTCAAAATGTGTTGTGTACACACATTCCAATCTTGGAGCACATGCAGCTTATGCACGAGATTGGGTTCTTTTTGACCAGCAGTATGTGTTGTGGCCAGGCCTGCGACCCTCATGACCACCACCGACCAGGGCTGCTGGAACAATTTGTATAGTGTGGGTACTGAGAGACATTGAACCAAACTGTAAGCCCTGTATAGGATGGAAACCACTTCAAGCCAGGGAGTGCGGCAGCACCTAAAGCACCCCTAGTTCCAGCACCCATGCCACAGGCAAGGGCATAAGGGACCAGGCAGCCTCAACCACCATTCAGTTCCTTTGCCAATAAGAATCCCAGGTGTTGGGATGCCGATAAATGGGGATGGAAGGCAGAATATGGAATCTGTGTGGACAACACACCTCAAAGAACCACAGTTACTGTGGGGTAAGTAACCATTCTTTCTTCAAGTGATTGTTCACATCAATTATACTCTTGGGGATGTCTACACTGCAATTAGACACCAGCGTCTGGCCCGCATCAGCTGACAAGTGCTCATGCTAAGAGGCTGCTTAATTGTGGTATACACATGCAGGCACGGGCTGCAGCAGCACTTTACAAGCCTATGTCCTTCCGTCAACTGTCCCACATCTTCCTTTAAGATATTCTACAACTGATTTAACCAAAATAGCATGGCTTCATCAGTGGCAACAAGAGGAAAAAAGTGAGTTAGAAAAATCCATCCATGCGGACTTAAGGAGTGCAGCAACAGTGCATTTGGAGAGAAAAGAATTGGAGGAGACAGAAAAAAAATCAGTTTATCCTTCTAATTGGCTAGACAAAATGAGCTAGGTCATCTTCTATTTTGGAATTCAAACTATGGAGAATCAGTTATACATTGGTGGTATTTCAGCTGTGTTAGCCAAAGGCATGATCTCAGTCAGCTTTCTTACAGAAAAGGACTCTACCTTAGCTTCTCTACTCTCTTCCAGGTAAAGGAAGGACCAAACAAAAGGAGTAGATTTTCCAAATGCCCAATAACCTTTTTAAACAACATCTTTATCATACATTACAAAGGACTGGTTACTTTTTCAACATGGTACAAGAACTGAGAATGCCAGTTTGTTCACAAGCAAGGAAAAGACCTGGTGTTCTCTGGAGTCTTTCAGGAGACTTCCCCAAAGGTCAGTTTCTCTCTCGCCCTTAAACAAAAGGCCTGATCTGATTCCAGTTTGCAAGTGATTTCAACGGGACTCTGTACAGGTTCAGGAACCTGCTTGCATGGCTCTCAATGCAAGATCGAGACCTAAGTAACTTTGTTGAGGGGACCTAATCCCTGGAGAACTGATTTTATTTGCTTCTTAAGCACAATACCCAAAGTAAAGTCTTTTCTGCTGCAAGGCTTTAGTCAGGGAATGAACATGGAAGTTTGCTCCAGCAGAGCCATGCTTCTGATCCCCTGCCATAACTCTTGAGCAGTAGCACTCAGGATGACTGACCAGCTAGCTGCTGCTATCCATAAGCTTACAGTTCATCCCAGCCCACTGCAAGACACAGGTGGGCCCTAGAATACTACAGGCTCACCTGACAATACCTACTATATTAACCTTTCCAAAAGGTGTGGGCAAAGGCCACTACTTTTTACCCCTGCAACATGGTCCTCAGAAGGAAACACTCCCATCAGGATGGCCCAAGGTCACACACACACACACACACAGAAAAAAAAAAAAGGGAAGAAAAATTAAGAGCATTTTGACTAATGTTTTTAGATTAAAAAAATCAAGAGAAAGAAAATCAGAAAAAATAGAATCTTGAGACTTGGGTATGTAGTTCTGGAGCTCTGCTGGCAAGGAACTCTACCCCTTCTCTACATGCACTCTACAATCATTATCTAATTAAGCCATAGCCATTAGTAACTTCATGACTTCCTCTTGGAAAATGGGGGCTCTCACCCTGTCAAGGCAGTTCATGGACAGATCCACAATTCTAGTTCCCTTATGTTTGCATTTTCTCCATTTACAATAAAATAAATAAAAAAAAAGAAAATAGAGCATCCAGGTAAGGAAAGCAATCACCCGGCCACATTCCTTCCCCCCATATATTTCCCTAATCAATCTAGTTAAACAGAGCTTCAGATAATTACACTTTGAAAAAGTTCATTATTTAAAAAGATTAAAAAGTGAATTCAAGTACAGCACAACCTTGATTATCTGAGCCTCATTTATCCAAACCTTCCTGTTATGTGAAACAGGGTTATGTCCCATGATATCTATAAATTACAATAAAAAAATGCCTTGATTATCTGAAAACTAAATTAAGCAAATTTCACCAACCCCCCCCGCCTAATATTTTGTCATACTGTACAATATGGAAAACAAGTAAAGATTTACAAAAGAATCTCTCATGTGTCTGTAATACCTTCATCATCAATCCACTTGAGGGTAATTGGCTGTTCCTGTTGTAAACTGCACATCTCCCTCACTTCATCACAAAGTTCACCATAGTTCATTGATGCATCCAAATTCGTTATTAGGATGTCCCTGCAAAAGATGAATTCACAGATTTAAATCACAAAATATATTCCCTCATTCAGAAATATGGCATCTGCCATAAACTGCTTGCTTCAGTAGCTATATCTGTGGAATTTATCCTGCTGAGCTGTACTCACACAAGCAGCACTTACTCACTAAAGTAATCCCATTGAAAACAAGCAAGTATTATTCCTGTGAGAAAGGGCTAGGCTCTTCCGGTGTCTCTGGGGAGATAGATTGCCTTTGCATCTCAACATTATTTTAATATTATATTTTACATTAACGATCCTGGCTTTTCAATATCTGCTTTATTGGCTGTTAAACATTGAGACTTACGTTAAATGAACTAAATGGGCATTTTAAAACGCATAGCTTTTGTAACTCCTAAACTAGCCACAGCGATTTTTTCTTTAGATAGATGGAATCAAAGACTGAAACATGTCGGAGTTTATATAGGACTTTGCAGCAGCTCAGAAGTCCCTGCATTATTAAAGAGATTTTGATTACGTAAATATTCTGAAAAAAATAAGTTTTAAATTCCACATTTTTCTGTGCTGTATTTCATAAATTAAAAATATTCTGAACATTTGAACATTTTTTAAAAATTAAAAATACAAAAAATGTCCCTGACCTCCTGCAACTTTACTTAAGACGAAAGAAACAGATGGGGGAAGGAAAGCGAGCCCGGAATAAACTGACAAACCACTGTATATAACAGTTGACCAGTAGGATGGTGAAAGGTCTACAACAGATTATTAAGTTTTAAAATCTGACTTATCACATTTACATGGTTTTAATGAGAAGAGTGGCAAAGTTATTTCTGGTGTTAGGTGTGTGTGATAAAACTTTAATTTCAAAGTTACTGCATTGGAAATAATATTTGCATCACACTTCAGCTAAGAACTATACTTTTAGCAGAATAGTTGATAATTACAAAATTCTAAAATCTGAAGTCAACATGGAACTATTGAAAGATGATAAAGACAGACAATTAGAATGGGATGCGAAGTTTTAGCTTTTAGCAAGCTGGGTATGCTTTTTTTGGAGCGTATTATTTTCCTTGAAGCTTACGTTTTTAATTCCTTTCTACGAGGTTCAGTGTTTCTAGAATGATGAAACCCACACAAAGTAAACCACTTAGTACCCTAGAGAATTTATTTATGAAACTACATCTTGTCACACTAAGCTGTTGCATGTAAAAACTAAAAAACATGCTTACATGATCTAGTCTGTATATAACTGAACATGTGAAGTAGATTTTTCATGTTTTACGTTAAAGTTAAAGTACCTCAAGAAAAAGCTACACAAAATAAACATGGCAAAAAAAGCAGGTGTTTGAAGGATGTTCAGAGATAAAAAATGTGTAAGACCCTCTAGTGGATAACTATACAACTGCACTTCTCAGTTAAGAATACGTACTTAGAGCCATATGTAAATTATTCACGTAACGTACTGAAGTCAACAAGGAGAACAGAAATGAGGAGAATAAGCTAAACATGATTTAATTAGTTTTGCTACTTTCACCCTCTATGACAAATCATTTTAGAAAACACAAGCTGTCTTACCTACTTCATACATTTGTGTAGGTTTGCTGGAAATTGAAACTTTACAATATTCAAGCTTGATTTTCATGGAAACTGTTTAGTCAAAGTGTCAAAAATGTGGAGACTATGTCAAGAAAAATATGCATGCATTATTAGGTCATATGGCTGTAAGTTGTTCATTTTTTGAAGGCAAAAAGAATATTTTTGCAAAGCCAATTTTTAAGAGTGACCGGAAGTAAAGCTGTGAAACTATTTAAAAAATATTGTGCTATCAGTTTCAAATGTAGATTAAAAGTGGGCTATATAATCTTTCAACATGGAATTTTTTTCTTTAACATTTGAAGAGATCTTAAATGACAGTTTTTATCTTAACTAATTATTCCTAATGGAAATGAAAAAACATGCAGGTTTTTAAATATGGTTTTCCAGGTTGATCTTTAATGTGATAAGCTACCATGAGTTGCTGAGTGAGACTGAGGTTTATTTTGCAAGCAACCTTAGAATAAGTGGTCTGGAGTCCACAAGTACTTCTTAGAGCTCTCAATAATTAAAAGCATTTAAATTACACTAGTTCTCAAAACCAAAGCAGAATCTAGACGCTTCATGGAGGCAGACACAGGGCCGGTGCAAGGATATTTTGCGCCCTAGGCAAAACTTCCACCTTGCGCCCCCCCCCGCCTCCGATGTCCAGCCCCCATCTTCCTACTGCCAAGTTCCCCCCAGGGGCCCAGATGTTCACGAAGTGCAGGGGCACAGGGTGGGGGGGGGAGGGGGTTGCAAAGAGGGGGGTCGTATGGGGGCTCTTCCAGGGGGTGAAGGTGGCAGGGAGGGGGGTGCACAAGATTGTTGCAGGGGGTGGAGGTGGCCAAGAGGTGGAGGGGGCAGGGATGTAGTGGCAGGGAAGAGATTGCACAGATGCAAAAGGGGCTCGTTGCAGGGGGTGCAGTGGCAGGGAGGGAGTGGCACAAGGGAGAAGTGGGCAGGAGGGGGTTGTTGCAAGGGGCTGGCAGGCAGTGGTGTGTCTGTGCCCGGGGATGTTGCAGGGGGTGCAATGGCAGGGAGGGAGTGGCACAAGGGAGAAGTGGGCAGGAGGGGGTTGTTGCAAGGGTCTGGCAGGCCGGGGGGGGGGGGGGTCTGTGCCCGGGGTTGTTGCGGGGGGGGCAATGGCGGGGAGGGAGGGGCACAGGGGGGGGGGGGGCTGTTGCAAGGGGTTGGCAGGCGGGGATGTGTCTGTGCCCGGGGTTGTTGCAGGGGGAGGGACTAGCCACACTGCTGGCGGCCTCTCTGGAACTGGGAGGCAGGGAGCAGCGGCAGCCTGGTGCTCCACTGTTTAAAAATTTTTGGGGGGGCACCGCTTTTTGGCACCCCCAACCACTTGGCGCCCTAGGCGGCCGCCTAGTCTGCCTAGTGGCTGCACCGGCCCTGGGCAGACACTGTATACAGACACAAAGACGGGGAAACAAGATGGGTGAGGTAATACATTTTATTGGACCAATTTCTGTTGGAGAGAGAGAGAGAAGCTTTCGAGCCACACACAGCTGAAGAAGAGCTCTGTGTAGCTGGAAAGCTTGTCTCTCTCACCAACAGAAGCTGGTCCAATAAAAGGCATTAACTACCTCACCTACCTTGTCTGTCTAATGTCCTGGGACCAATGTGGCTACTACAGTGCATACAAAGTCACAGTCACTGACCCAGAGAGGTTATCCTGTAAGGACCCAGTGCTGCAAGTATAAGCCCAAGTGTTTGTAGGATAGGGAGTATGTAAACTTTTTAGGCCATTCACCATGTCTTCATATCTTTATATAGTGCTTAACCCAGGTATGTCCTTAATGGAACTATACATTTGTGGTTACAGGATTGGGCCCTAGGACTCAGGACATACAAATGGGGATAGGATTAAATATTGAACATTATTTATAAATTTGCATTTTTTTTTTTAATTATAGCAACACACAAATTGTCAAATTGGATCAGACCCAAGGTCCATCTAGTCCAGCATGCTGTCTATTGCAGTGGCTGGTACCAGATAATTCACAGGAGGCGTAAGAATCCTAAAGTAGGCAGATATAGATCAGTTTGCACTCCCCACATTTGGTCTCATCCTGATCTCTGATTGTCAGAGATTGGCTTAAGACCTGAAGAATGATATTTAATATCCCCCCAAAATATTTAACCATAATTGTAACAACTCTGGTTATCTGTTTAAATATCCAATCCCTTTTTCAATTTTGCTAAATTCTTAACCTCAACAACTTCATGTGGCAATCCGTTCCATAATCTAATTACAAACAATAAATATAATTGTATACAATTGTGTACAGATAACAGTAGTGCCAATATATCAGAGGTGGGCAAACTATGGCCCATATCCAGCCAGCGGGACCGTCCTGCCCGGCCCTTGAGCTCCCGGCTGGGGAGGCTAGCCCCCCTCCTCCGCAGCCTCAGCTTGCTGTGCCACTGTTCCTACGGGGAGCAATTTAATACACTACACCCGGCCCTCCATACAGTTTCGGAACCCCGATGTGGCCCTCAGGCCAAAAAGTTTGCCCACCTCTGCAATATATCAATATATATAAAGAAATATGGAACTATTGTTTATCTATCTAAACTATATATATCAATATAAGTGGTCTGAGGCTACAGACAGGTGGATTTGTTGAGCTGTGACCATATCGTCAAACTGTACATCTAAGCACATGGTGTGTCATTCAGAAATACAGTTCTCAGGGGAAATTAGCCCTCTGCAGACTGTGGAAAGCTACTACTGAAATTAGAAAATATGGAGAGAGCAATAATTCATCAATGAAAGGGACCATCCTCTGGCTTAAATAAGTAATTCAGAACCATTTTGAGACTTGATTTACAGAAGTGGTAATAGAGAGACACTCCAGCCACGTTTCATGTCCTCTCCTCAGATATTAATATGTTTCTTACTGGTAGAATTTGTTTTTAAATAAATACAAGTACAGTGAGGAAGAGGAACCAATGAAAAAATACAGAGACAAAAAAAATATTGTAACTAAAAACAAAATTTCCAACTTATTTCAAGCACCAAAGTATGCTCTTGGAAGAATATAGCTAAAGAACACACACTATGATGAGACAATAAACAGATTGATTTCTGTTAACATAAATATTATTTATTGTCCCTAGGGCAATATCTTAGAGAGACCATAAATCTTGATGTGTTCCAAAAAAAGAACAAAAATATCTGAAGAAAATACTTCATCTAACTTTGAAATCACTATTATAGCAGGCCTTGCACTAGGATACAACAGCATAGAGGCACGTCCCCTGGATGATGGATGGGAGTAGCCTGTCTTGGGGAAATCCAACAAGAGTCCCTCATCCTGTAAGTATGGATGACATTCTTTTGTTCCTAGAGGTAAACATTTAGCCATATTAAACATGCATAGTTTGCTTGCTCTCAATTTACCAAGCAATCCGGTTCTCTCGGAATCAATG